GAGAGAGAGAGAGAGTACCTTCCAGGCCTGAGCTTCAGAGTGGTAGAGAATTTGGTGAAACCTCCTGTGTACTCTGCTGACATATGTTCTCCTTGACTCCATCCATCAAAGGAACCCATGACCTGCACATCCTGTGCTCCAAGAGGAAACCAAAACTATAGATAAACGTAGAAGACAATAATGCATGCTTGGAAACGAGACTATTAAGTATCATGAAATGTTCACAAGGACACACCATCCCAATCACAAATTAAGAGTCCAAAAATGTAATTCTGAATCTCGTTCTCAGTTTCACTAACCCATGAAAAAAGTAATCAGAACATACCTCAGCCATCCCATACCAGACCAGCTCGACATCATGGAATTTAACCGCATCAATATCCTTTATCTGTTCCTTTAATTTGTCACGAAGTACTACATAAGAAGAACAAATGCACACATAAATTAGAAACATAAGAAGACACAGATTTCTTTTAAAAGAAATGAATATCCACAAAATCTGGGGATAAATTCATATTGAATTCATGATTAAGAGTACCTTGCAGTTTTGAAAGAACATGAGAATGGATATATTTCCCTCCAATCTTCCTTGTTCCTGGTGGGATGCCGGCCTTGGTCACTTCCTCCGTCAGCCCCACTAATGACTGAAATACCATACGAGCATGGATTAAAAGGTTTATGAAGAAAGATAAAGGTTAGGATATACTTCACCAAAAAAATTCAGAGTTTCAGATAAGACTCAAAACGATCAATATGAAGTCCAGACCATGTATTTTCCAAAAAATTGACTAACAAAATAAGAACTATAATAAGCTTAAAAACATGAAAGAGACCCTGTTACAAAACAACCGTTTCTTTGATTAGTTAATCAAATCATTATCCAACTTGCAAAGTTAACAAGGTAGATCCATCTGCAGTGAAATTAGAAGTAATATCATTTTTCATGGGTTTGAGACCCATGAAGGAGCAAATATCACTACCCACATGGTTCCTGGCTCAAAAATTAGACGATTAAACAGGAAGCTTCAGACAAGAGCTACTACAGAAAGTCCTAAAGGGAATAATTCATCTTTTGCTGAAAGTTGAACATTGATACAAAAAATACCTCCAGAAGCCCAGGATAAAATACGTCCTTTTGAGGTTGTGCTGGCTCTACCATCTCGGTCTGATTGTCACAACTGGAGCAGCAGTCTAATTACAAAAACTAATAACAGATTGATTTCATTTTGGTTGAAATATTAATGGGTGAAAATGGGTGATAAATGTCCGCCAAAGTTATCCTTGTGTAAGCATAAATATCTCCAGTTCCAACAGATAATACATAGCTGGAAGACACTCTTGAACTCAGTTTCTCCTTACTTAAAAATGGTGATTTATTGTTCTAACTAATAATCCTGATATTATTTAATTAAATAGAAGATTAATACAAGTAATTCTGATTCTTCTTTGTAGTTTCATATTCACTCAGTTTTTGGGCAGTATTTGATTCCATCATTCCTAGAATCATGGAAGTCAGATGCAAAGTAGAGTAGATGGATTCTTATGCCTCTCACCAAGGTTTTGGAGGATGCATGGATTCATCTAAGTATCTAATCTGGCCAACAACAGAAAATTTCACAGAATCACAACCAGAATATATATGTTGCTGTGTGTTTTCATTGCAAATATGCTGCTGAGATATATATTCTGATCCTCCACAACATTTTATGATATAGTAACCAATCAACACAGGGAAATATTTAGAAAAATAACTTGTTACAAAGAAAGGTACAAGTAGAGAAAGCAGAACCTACAAACTTTTTTGTGTTTTGCATACTAACTGGGAAAGAATGAATAAAACTTCAAATTTTGCTCATAATGATGCAGGAGTTTGACTATGGCCCTCAAAAACATGAACTGAAGGCTAGAAAAGACAGAAGTCATTCCAACGAATCAGTGAAACCCTTTTCCTCTTTGTGTTTCATCCACTTCAAATTAGAACAAATCGAACACAGCCAAGATCGGACATATGTATTGTCACATTTTTGGGAAATAGACCCCTCCGATTCAGTTATCAGAACACCATATCCTGTATTGGGGGTAGGGGGGGGGGTGGGAGGGTTGGGTGTTTGGGTGGGGTGGGGTGGGGGAAGCAATAGACCCATGTGATTCCTCATTTGCCCCATAATTATCAATGAGGTGAAGCTCCACTATGTAAGGTAGTTGATGGCTACAAACTTTTCAAGAAAGAAAATTACAGAAGGGCAAATGTGATTCAAACCACCTCCTAATTTGATGCATTACGGTTAATGCTGCAAACGTATGATAATGATCAGCCCATGTTGCACTTATAAATATAAATAAGGTGGCATACCATGATTGAAAATGCACAAGCCCATAAAGCTCTTGACTCAAGAAATAAAGACATTTCTTAAAATATGGTAGTAAAAGGACTTGCTCTGATACCAATGAAAGGTGTGGCTATGGAATTCCAAGGTATGAATTCAAAAAATTTCTTTATTAATAATTAAAATTTTTACTTACAATTGCCACAACATAACATAGAAATTTTTTTAAAATAAAATAAAATAAACCAACTACGATCTGGCATCTTTTACTATCACTGTCACAATAAAACTTTATTCAAAGGCTGAATTCGAACCTTCAAATTGGAATTCCAATATAAATAGGATTTCTGTAAATAAATATAATTCTAGAACTTCTAATCTGAAAAAAATAAGTAAATCAGGCAGGGAACTTATTAAACTTTGCCTAGGATCACCCCTTTAGGATTTAGTACATCCCACACCCAATTACCACACCAATGGCACACTTCTTGAACCTTTGGTCATGCTGAATTTTATATAGTGAGAAGTTCCTTAGGCAATACCCTTCAAGAGCATGAACTGGGTCTAGCGTTTTCCTAAATCTCTTAGGGTATGCCACTATGCACACCACCCTGCTACAACCTAGGTTGAGCATGCTCCCTTCCTTATCTCTAGGGTTGGCGTGCCAGCCTAGGAATCCTTGGGTGGTGCTTGCCACCATCTAAGGAAGAGAGATGAAAGAGAAATTATGGAGAGAGATGAGGCATGGAGAGGAGAGGCAGAGAGGCTAGAAATCTAAATCAATGAAATAAGAGGTGACCCCCTATTTATAGTTTTCTAGAGCTCTTGGTAAGCCTGTCTTAATTATAATTTAATTTGACCAATAGGATTCTTGGTAATCTATGAGGTGAGAGAGAGAATAAATCTGAACCATCCATTCCAAATATCAGCCATAATGATTTTGGGAGAAATTTTTGGAACCTTATCCCCTAAGTCTTTGACTCATATCCACTTCTACTCAGACTTTTATTTTAATTTGAATTTTGATTTAAGTAGGAGTCCTAATCGAAGTAGGAATCCTAATCCAAATAGGATTCTTAATACAATTAAGACTCCTTAAAACAAATAATATTTAATATGAATTCTTATCTATGAAGGAGTCCTAGTTCAGGTAGGAATCCGGATCCAAGTAGAACTCCTAATACAATTAGGACTACTTAAAACGAATAATAGTTTAATAAAAATTATGATCTAAGTAGGAGTCCTAGTCCAAGTAGGAATCTTAATCCAAGTAGTAATCCTAATACAATCAGGACCCCTTAGAACAAATAATATTTCAACAGAAATTTTGATCTAAGTAACAGTCCTTGACCAAATAGGGATCCTAATACAATTAGGACTACTAATACATTAGGAATTCGTAAAATAAATAATATTTTAATTTTAATCAGGGGCATCCCACTTTGTGTGCGGGATGTGTAGCCCATGTGGGCCTCATGTCCCACTACTATGTGGCCTACCCATGTGTGGGAGCTGAGCCCTTGGCCCCACTATACGGACCCCACTTAAAACCATGTAGATTTTTACAACAAAAAATAATTTCTTTTAAAAATAATTTCTTTTAAAAATAAATCCTTTAAATTTTATAAAAAATACGTAATCATAATTAAAGTTGAAAACAATATTTCTGAGGTTCTTAAAAAAAAATTCTAAGAAATACTCAGAAATACATCTAGAAGTGGATCGGTACCAACGGGTCAAGAAACGTGACTGTCAAAGGACTCCACCAAAGCCAATGACCATGATCCATAACTATCTTCTCAAACCAACCCAACGAGGCCTATGCACATGAGCTCATGATCAACCTGTCAAAGCTAGCCGATTAATAGTGGAACCACGATTCCAATATGTGGGTTACAGGTTCTCCCCAATAGCAAATCAGATGCACATATTATTATAGTGCAAGTGAGACACACTCTATACACATGTATATATGTTCGTCTACAGAGTTGCTTCCCAGAATGCGACTGTCATATATACATGACATGCAAAAGTCTATTGAGGATCTATGGCCCTCACTCTCACAGCCCTATAACTGCATACAGGAGACCACAAAGTTCTTCTGGCCTGCAAACCATCCTTAGACATCTCTCCGACCTCAACAAGGAATGACCTTGCAAAATCTCTCAATAACATTGCCTATGCCGAACGGAAATGGTTTTGAACATAACCCGGGCCATAGGCCACCTAAATGTGAGTCTGTCCACCAAGCATATACTCCCACTGAAGTGTACAATTCACTATGTTTATTACATTTGCATGCTCTCATGGGTTTTAAAAGCCACAAAATTCAATAGCTAACCCTAAAACTAATCCTAAACCTTGATCTAACCCAACAAGACCCTTCCTTATAACCCCAACCCTAGTTCTACTTCATTTAGACCTTGGATCATCCAACACTAACCCAATCAGGAAACTTGTGAAAGAAACATGTCGTCCTAATCTATGTAGGAACCTAAAACCTTTTAAGACTCCTAAATACTAGCCTAATTAGAACTCCCATCTAAAACAAGCCCCTTCCTTCATAGCCAACTTGTTACACTCATTACAATTGAGTAGGTGCCAACCCTTTGGTCCTACATTAGCTTGGTATCAAAGCCATAGTTCCCCTATGGTTGGGAGCTTCGTCAATATAACACATATGCTAGGGATTGAGATCCCAAAATGTTAAACATCTCAATCCTAACCTTTTGGAGATCTTGCTCTCTAGCTTAAAGAGTGTATATAATCTAGGACTTTATAAACACTTTAAAATGGGACTTCTTCATTTATAGTTAGAAAGCAATGGCACTATATTAAAAGTATAGTTGCATTATTAGCTGGTTACAAGCAAAGAAAATCATCAGTTTGGTTATTATCTTGGTCTTTAAGGTGGGGATCAAGATACCTAACAATGGAGATTGAGATCCCTTGAAGATCCCTTTCCTGAAGCATCAGAGTGAGTTTCCCGAGAGATCACCGCTTAGGTTGGGAGATCCCAGCAACTATGGTCAAAGCCTATGAATCCTTGGGGTTCCAAACATCTGTGCCTATGGCTTTCATACCAAAAGAGTCTGTCAAGCAAGAAACACTGAAAACCAGAGTGACAAGATACACTTGAAAATGTCCGAAGAGATGAGTTCCATGCGTGAGGTCCTCAATGTGTTTAGCCGAAAAACAATCCATTACAAGGACGAGAAGATAAGCTCCATAGGTCAGAGATCAGCGTGCCATCCAAACTTGGAAATAAATGAAATCTATGAAGAGAGAGTGCTACTAGCTGCATCGACAACATGAAAGGATGTTGTTTCAGAAGTTGCACTCCCTTAAGCAGGGCAACAAGACAACTGATGAGTACGCTGATGAGTTCCACTTGCATAACATTCTCAACAAACTCTTTGAGACTGATGATAGAAAGTTGCAAGGTATAGAGTTGGATTTTCTTTGGAGCTTAGCTATAGATGGTCATGGCGAACGTAGAATAGAAAAATTGAGCTATAAAGGCCTACCACATGACTTCAAGGATCAAGCAACTCAATTAGCCCCTCAACACTTCATGCAAAAAGAGAGCTTTGCAAAATTAGCCACATTCCTGCATGCAGCCAAGTAAAAGGCTCCTCTTACCCTTGAAGATCATGAATGAAGGCAAAGGGTTTTTCAGGAGACAAACAAAAAGGGTCAGCAATCCATGAATGACGGCAAAGGGTTTTTCAGGAGACAAACAAAAAGGGTCAGCAATCCATGAATAAAGGCAAAGGGTTCTTCAGGAGACGAACAAAAAGGGTCAGCAATCCCATCAAGTGTTCCAGATGTACGAGAGTTGGGCATGTCGCCTCTCATTTTCCCCTCATCTCTGTTGGATAAAGACTTCACTGTATCTTTATTTTGAATAAAATATTATGATTTCATTGATGCAAAAGAAAAATAAAATGCTAAATTCCAAAGAACAATGCTAAGCAGAAGAACAAGGGGTTAACGAGAATAGTATTTTAGAAGGAGCTCCTTCCATTTGGTACATCCTTAAAAATATTTTCTTCCATAAGACAATAATATACTCTTTGAATGACTTTGTCAATAATTATTTTTATGTTAACGCATTCAAAAAAAAAATCTTAAAATCCCCTAAACCTGAATGCCCTTTGTACAATGTAAGCCAGTATGCGTGTGTGCTTCCACAGGCTTAAAGTTTCAAGTGTGTAAGTATATGTTCTCTACCTTATGAAACGGCCTCATATGATATTGAATGATAGAAACATCCATCACATAATATTAGTTAACTATATATAACCATAATGAAGTGTGCTGCTCCTATGGTATTACTCCCAAGTTACTGAAGCATCATCATGTATAGACCATGTGAATTAGTCAGTTGAAAATGGCTATCTAGAAATCCATAATTCCACAAATGCACATAAACTAGAAATATACAAACTCGAGATATGAAGAAAATTATTCACAGTTTTGGAGAAATCAAACCTCAAGTTCAAGTTCCATTAGTGCAAGATCACTTTTGAATTTCAGCAGAGCATCTTCCTTTACTTGTAACTGCACAATGAGACACAAGGCAAAGTAAAATTGCTATTGTAACATAGATATCAAAGTATAAATTCCCAAAGCAACTTCATTGCTAGCTTTATTCTCAAGTATCATATAATTATTAAATATCTGGCAAGCCCCATGGCAGGAACGCATATTTAGTAACCAAACAATTAATGTGACTATGATTAAGCATTACAATTCCTCATATGTTGACTCTTTCTAAGTACCACATCAAAGATGCATTCCTCCTAGATTCATCTGAAATAGCAAACCCTCTTTCAGTGATCAAGATGTTCATTGAGCACAATCACATATAAAAAATTTCTATGATCAGATAGGTGTAGCTGAATGCACATGGGCAAGCAGAGGGCAAGAATCAAAAAATTTCATACCTTGTATGTTTCTTAAATCATATGTTTGAATTGAGAGATATTAAATTCTATGTATCTTCCCCAAATAATTACCCATTATTCTAAAAAAATTACCCATTTTATTATGCAAAAGGAATATCACATTAAAAAAAACTACAGCAACATGAATATGAAAAAAAAAATACGGTGACATTAGTTCCAGAAATATAATTGCCAAAGATGCATCGATACAAAACACATAACCTCAATTAATGCATACAAATAAGACTATGTTATCAATTAAGGCATACTTACAGGATTGTTATATATTATACCAAGTAAAATATAACTTTTGGAGAAATTTATCATCTAAGGTCCATCAATGGAAAGAAAAATTGCAAAGATAGGTAAGAGGAAGAAAATATGCTTGAATAGCATACTTGTCAATACATGTAACGTTAGAAAAGGAAAAAAAAATAGTTGTGAATATTTTCCAACAGAGGAAATGGCCATAAAAACACAATAAAGGTCTGATGAACACAAAGAAATAAAGAATGAGGAAGCTAGCTAAGAAATAAAATTGGCGGCATTCAGGATTATCAAATTTGTAGCATCAACATTGCAAAAATATCAAATTCTTGAAATCTACAAAAGGTATGGGCAGTGACTGTACAATTGTTAGTTCCCTACATATCAAAATTTTAGTCTTCAGTCAAATAAGAACATGAAACTGGACCTTTCATAAATGATTAAAAAACATTTAGAAATTTTCTACAAGTTAATAGATAAAGGTCAACTGCAATTACAAAAGAAATCATGTTGAAAGCAATAAAACTAAGGGACATCCACCTGGCGCTTAAGGTATCGATTGTGTTGGTTAGCATCACTGAGCTTCTTGGTAAGATTTGCCCTAACAGTATCGGTCAGCAGCGCATTCAGCTTCAAAAAAGAGCAAACGACAAATCATATTACAATCATAATGTGATCACAAAAACAAAACCATAAAGCCCATGTTAATTGCACAGTAAACCACTTCTAAATTTTGTAATAGTCAGCAAAATACATGATATAAGAATTAAAGAACAAAAAAAAGTAAACACAAAAAAATAACAAATTTAATGTGAGAATTCCAATTGAACAAAGTTGAAGGTTTTTTTTTTTGGAAACTGTTAACGGTGTTATATTAAGGGAAAAAGAGAGTTACAGAGTGGATGAGGGGGGAGGGGGATAGAGACCACCCACTATACAGGGCTTCTATACCAAAACGTATGCTAACCACATAGTGGTAGCCCTATACAAAAAATGGGGATTACTCCATACATATGCACAAGAAGGCCGTAAAGCTGTGGGGGTACAGTCCACAAAGTATAACAAGAAAAAATACAATGCTGCACAGGAAGTAACAGGAGGAATATTAAAAAAACCAGGGCGTGCTTGAAAGAGCTCCTTGTTAGCCAGGGCGTCCGCTTGGGCGTTTGATTCCCACCAGGTATGCCTCCATAAGACGACGATATACCTGCAAAGGTGAGCAATCTAGTCAAAAATAAGGGCAAGGTACCTTGGACAAGGTGAGGACCCTGTGGCCCATGAGATGACATTCTGGGCATTGCCTTCAACGATTAGTGGTAGACCCCAGAGACGGTCAAAGAGTTTGATGCCTGTGAGAAGGGCAAGGGATTCAGCTGACTGGGAGTCGGCGAGGCCTAGGAGAGTCGAGAAGGAGGCCAAGGAGAAGCCGAGGTGATTTTTGAAGAGGTTTCCAACCATTCCGGGGTTGCCTAGGGAGCACCCATCGAAGTTGAGTTTGGTTTGTCCCAAGGGGGTAGGTGACCAAAAGGTGGACCGAGAAGGGCAAGGAGGCCCGGTGTGAAGTTTGGACTTCCAGTTGAAAAAGAAGGTAGAGGAGGGTAAACCTTTGAATCTCTTGTGATTTAAGGTCCAAAAATAACCCAGATGATTTTGTGAAAAATGGCTAGGGTCAAATATTTCTCTCCTCTGAAATGAATTTCGTTCTTTCCAAATTGTCCACACTGTGGCCGCCACCGATGCTTGCAACAAAGTCCTACCTGCTTTGGGCTAAGGGCAAGCAAGGTGCAACTTAAAGAGGGCCGATATGGAAGGGGGGGTGACTCATTGCCATCTGAAGAGATGCAGTAAGGAACCCCACAGGTTTTGGGCCAAATTGCAGTGGAGGAAGAGATGGGGGTTACTCTCTTCGGTAGACAGACACATAGAGCATTTGTTGGGAATGGGGATTCTTCTCCATTGCAAATGGTCAACCGTAAGAGCTTTTTCGGAGAGACAATCCAAATAAAAGCTTGGATTTTAGGGGGAGAGATGGAGGACCAGGCTTGGGAAGGTGGGGGGCGAGAACAGTTGTGTATAGAAAGAAGCAACAGGAAAATGGCCCAAGGGGGAGGGGGTCCAAACAATCTTGTCTGAGCCTGACACGGCCAGGAAAGAGGAGTGGAGGAGAGCGAAGAGGTTGATGAACTCTGAAGACTCGGATTCAGAGAGGTGTCTACTGCAGGAGGGAAATTAGACTCGAGAAGGGCCAACAGGGGCCCAATAGGGGTAAAGTGTCGGCTATTGAGGAGGTTTGGTCGAGAGGGATGGAGAAAAGAGATGGAAAAAGTCTTTGAGAGGGGTGTGGCCCAGCCCATATTTCCAACTAGAAGTGAATCCATCGTCCGTCCCTAGGTTTTGAAAGGAGGTGTTGAAAGGAGGCTTAAGAGGTCAAGAAGGACCTCCAAGCATCTGAGGGCCGACTGGTGGGCCTTGGAGAGGGGAGCCAAGAGTTGGGGTTGGGTCGGTATTTGCACCGAATGACTTGGATCCAAAGGAGGTTGTCTTGAGTAACCAGTCGCCACCACCATTTGCCCAACAGAGTTCAACGATTAATTGATTACATACAGAAATATCTATCAGCTTATTAATTTTACTAGAGCCATACCTATTTCCAGTGTTATTGTGACACCTGGGTTTTGCCATGAGGTTGCATGTTATTATGAATTGAAATTCCCAGACACATCATCTGTATGTGTCTCTTAAGTTAAAGCGCTACATTTCTGGGCACATCTGTCAGACAGGCCATCGAGTCAGACACTCTGTGGTCTTTACATTACCAAAATGAAGTGGTCTTTACATAATCTGTGAGACTCAAACCTTCAGCATTCTATCTCGATAACTAACACTCTACCACTAAGCCACCAAAGAAATTTTTCATATCAAAAATTTATTATTAGTAAGGTTAAAAAAAGAATCACTTTGTAATATAAAAGAATATGAATGCACCTACTTTTATAGTTCCTTGCAAGAAACATTTTTTTTCATATTGTTTTTCTCGAATTTTCCAGTCTTCTAAGAATTTTTGAAATTTTTGTAATTTGCACACTTCAAGAATTATTAAAGCTGCTGATTATTTGTTTTGTTTTAAGCACCCCGGGGGCCAGAAGAAATCTCCAATTTGTTGCTGCGCATCATCATGTTGATCAATCCTTTGTTGGAAAGTTTGTTACTAAGAACCCTTGAACCGAACACGCCCACGTCCTTGGCCACAACCACAGCCTCGAGCACGACCCTGGTTCATATTGCCTTGGTCTTCCATGGAATGTGAACTCGCCTAAAACCTATACAAAACTTCCCAAGACCTAGAGAAGGATAATTCCTACCTCTAGAGAGCCAGTTGAATAGAGTTCCTAACTTGGAACTATAGGACAGCAAACCAAACCCTTACGAACTCTCTATTTACCCTAGGACTATACCTAAAACACTAAGTGTTGGGGTTCATGGTCTTTAAAGGCCTAGAGAGCATGTAAAGAAAATTATTTATAGTGATTTGTTCACTTCAGTGGAGTATACTGTGGCTGACTGACTTAGGGTTAGGCAGTCTATGGCCCGGGTCATGTCCAAAACCCTTACCCTGGGCATGAGGCACTATCGTTGAGGCTTTATTGTGGGTCCTTCCTTGTTGAGGTTGAACAGATGCCTACGGACATTGTTTGCGAGCCAGGAGAGTTGTGTAAAATCTCTGGTGTGCGAAGGAAGGGTTTGTGAGAGCAAGGGCCAAATCTTCAACAAAACTTCTGCACGACATGTACATATGATAGCTGCATTTTGGGAAGCAACCCTATATAGAGAGACACATGTGCATGTGCATGTGCATAGAGAGAGCACCCCCTTGCACTATGTGTGCATTTAACTTGCATTAGGGGGGGAACCTGTAATCCACATACTGGGACTCTATGGTTCCATGGTTTTATTAGCTAACTTTGAAAAGGTCAAACAAGACAGTTGTGGATAATGGACCCTAGCACAGGTGGAGTGCCCTGATATTCAGCCCATTAGGTACCTATTCACTTCAAATTGTATTTTTGTGTGTTTTGGATTTCTTTTTTAACAATAGAAATTTTTTTTTCAATTAAAAATGTGACTTTTGGATATTTTTCTAGAATTTTAAAATGAATTTTAAATGTGTAAAAATCCTAAAAGGGTATTTTTGTAACTTTTAAATAATTAGGTTAATTTAAGAATTACAAATTTTTATTGGCGGGACCCATGTGTGGAGGCCAAAGGGCTCAAGCCCCACACTTGTGGGGCCCACTGGGGACGCACGTCCCATTAAGTGGGACGCCCCAAAATTTTGGCACATGATATTTTAATTATATAGCCAACCCCCCAAATAGTTGGAAAAAGGCTCTGATGATAATGATGATATTTTAATCATATTTTAAAATATTTTCTTAGTGACTATTATTATTTGGTTGAAATATATCTTTAAAGAAAATATTTTGTGAGAGATTTAATGGGATCTAGATATTGATCATTATTTTATTTCCTAATTATCCCTGGGAGAGAGAATAGGAAGTTTGGAATGTTCTAGGTCACTCTAGAATGTTCTAGAAGATAAGTTGGAGCTGGTTGGGGAACCTCAAGGACAAGGGATCTTAAGCAAGTTGGGCATGAAGAATATCTATGCACCAGCTTGAGGGGGACTGTCGTCAATGTTAAAGTTTATACTTCTTTCTATTATATTTAAGTCCCTAAGGGCTTATTTGACCTTTTTCCTCACTTAGAGGTCATCATTGTACAATAGTAAAATATAACTCACACACAGACACACAGACACACACACACACATATATATATATATATATATATATATATATATATATATATATATAGTAGTAGTAGGTTAGTTAGTAGGTGTCTACACACTAACTAATTAATTTAATTAATTATATACAACTAACTACTACTAACACTACTACTACTTACGT